TAGAAAATTGGGCTTTCTGAATGGAAGTTGACGTGAATTTGTACCTCTAGATCATCAACAGTTCACATCGATGGATTCTTCCTGTTCTCCAATGGGTAGTGCCAACAGTATATTCAATCCCACTTCTCCTCTTCAGTAATGCCACTTTTGTGAGTTCACAGGACATGGAGGTGCTGGCTGAAAGACAAAGTATAACGGTTAGTTACCTGAAAAAAGTTTTTTGATTCTACAGAATTTTCTCCTTTTGAGATTGCTACGTCAATGACAGCTCTTTTCGTCTCCATCACTTTCATACTGTGCAGCTTATGCTATGGAACCATATTGAGATTTCTGATCAAAAACCGGAAGAGTAGCAGCGTGTTTGTTTAAAATGCCTTATATTGCACCAACATTCAACTTGTACAGCACTAATCATAATCTTCCAGGGCAATGAAGCGAGAGCGTCGACTGTGTGTACAGTTTTTGGGCCTTTTTGTCGGCTTCGCACTCTTTGTCGTTTTTTACAGTTTGCAATTCACTTTCTCGCTCCAATCCAATGTAAGTGACATGACAACTACAGCATGTGTGATGACCCTAAATCAATTTACACCTTCCCCATAGCGGAATTCCAAACAAGAGAACATTGCCTGGATGGTTTCAAAGTACAACCAAACTTTGGATAGATTGAGGAATGGTGGCTACAAACATGGACACCAGTATGTTAGTCTAATCTCACAAACAAGCTGTGAGCAGTAATGACGCTGAATCTGTTGGAAACCTGCCCCTGTAGAGCGGGCGCTCCAATTTCTCCAAATCTGCTTTCTCATCCAAGTTTTGGAAAATAATTCCAAAGGGTTCACGGTGCCCCACTGTTTAGCATTGAGGACTCTTGACACATTCCGCGATTTGATCAAGTCGAAGTAGTGATTCGTGTGTCAAGTAACCAAGCGAACACTAGCCTACTTACCCTTCTGCTTCATAACTCGAATGTACGCAGTGCGCAGTAGGTTGTAAGGGGTAAGGAACCTACCGAGAAAAACTTGGCCGCAACTGTTGCCCATTTGTCATGGGTAGTCAGGAAATACGAGCAGGTGCTATAAAATGGCAATGGAAAAAACGATTAGTTCATCCAAATACGGAGGGGATAACGCATGTTTCGACCTCGGCTCTTCAAACCCGATAATTCGCAAGATGGGAAAAACGATCAATAATTTCACGTCGATGATCAGCAGATGAACCCATTCCTAGTGTCTGAAATCTGATATATGACTCAGTTGATGACTTCCATTAACGCTTGTTTCCCACATGGTTAGAGTTAGATGAAGGATTCCCAGCATGTAAAGACGTTTAGGAGCTGAAGTATTATAGTAGTAGCAGTAGTCAGTAAAAGAGAGCATCAGCGAGTGTCGCAACAAAGCAAATTTCAGTAGCCTGACTCAAATTTTATGCGACCCTGCTGTCGAATTGTGTCTGTGTGTTCTTGCGTAGTGGAAGAACCTTTCCTTCAGCGAATCCGGATCAAGCGTTAAATACTGATTATCCTCAAACTCTCAATCCCCCAATATGTTCAGTTGCCCGTGATCGCTTCATCCGGAAATAATCTACAGACATGGCGAAGTTACTTCCAGAGAACTTTCCACAATTAGCAGCCCCCTTCCTGATGGATTGAGCACAATCCCTGCCAAATAAAAATTCAACAATAAAAATCCAATGGCGCCTTCAAATGAACCACACGAACTCCCTCCAACCAGAAATAGCTTGAAGTCACTTGAAGTCGCGCCTCTACGTCTTCATCTCTCTCTAAGACAGTCCTCTCAAGAACTCAGCGAGTATCGAAATAGAGAAATTCCTAAAAATAGTCCCAAAATCGGCTGAAGTCTCGAAAAATCAAAAACACAAAATTTAACAGTGATCCGAACGGAAGCTTCCCCCCTTAGGCTAGTCTGATGTGCGTATGCACTTACATACGCAGCTTTTGTGGACGCTTCTTTCCTAATTGTCGGACCTTCCATAGCGAGGGGAATCCCTACCAGTAAACTTGGCTTCAGGTAATCGATGGGAATGCAGATTTGAATGCAGAGCCCGCGATCAGATATTCTGGGTAATGGTTCTCAGAAAGGGATGCCAGGTCACAAAAGTCAGTGTTGCAGAGGGAAAACAGAAAAAAAGTTGTTCTTAAGTGCTCAAATACTCAATTGTACAGAGGGCTAGCAAGTACGAACGGAATGACATCACCGGACATGGTGTTGTGGTCGATATGGTCGCCACAGATAGCTCCAGCTGGTCTCTTATTGACAGCAATGTTCCTGCTACGTTTTTTATGACGAATCTTCTGTTATAGTGGCTGAGAAGAATTGTGGGCGGAGCCAGTGTGTGTGGCTCGGGCCAGTTAGAGGAGCGACGGTATTTTCGTCCTCTTCACTCGCTTTGCACAACGAAAATGGTGCGTGCAATCACTGCTTGTGCGGACCAGTCTACCTACTCGCAAAGGGAGAGGGAGATCTGAAGTGAGACACTGCCTTCAAGATGAGCAGCACAAACGCCTGTCGGCTGTATGCGCATTATTGCAAAAGGATGAACCTACATGTTGATGTTCCACTGCGAGCTGATTAGTAATCTGCGCAAATCATTTCGTGTTGACTCGCACAGTACAACATTCGTAGAGGTCTGCCCTCGAAGCGAAAGCAAGGTAGCGAGACCTGTAAAATCTGAATTGCTTCCCCGACAACCTAACCTATTGTACTAATGAGGGCAGAGGTTTTTTTGAAAGAATTAGTTTGAAAATGGCCAACTTCCGCTATAAGTCTGTGTCACAACGATCGTCCCAAACTGGCGGTATGCCATTTAGTGGGTCGATGTCCATGTTATGAGACACTTTGGTATGTAATTCAGTGTTACGCGAAAAGTTCACCCTTGAATGCAATAGTCAGGGACTGGACTTGTTGTGCTCAGGGGACGCCATCGATTTGTGTGGAATCGCTCCAAAAAAGGTCCCGAAGCATACGGAATGATATAAAATTCGTTGCCTGGATCCTAAACATTCACGATCGAAAGTTGCAGTAGAGCGAATGTTTAACGATTTTTTGCAAAGGGGTCCAGGACCCAAAAATACCTTCTTCTTGAACATATATAACTCCCTCCGCAGTATTACTTCTTAAGAGGGAAAAGAAGAATTTTTCTCAGCATCTAGTGACCGAATTTTAGGTATTTCAAACACCTTTTATTCAAGAAAGTATTCCATTGGCGAAATAGCTGTTGAACTTCGCGAGCCATCTACGAGTTTACGTCATCTGAATAGTCAGAACGCCCTTCATGTGTGTCTCTTGTCGAGTCCAGTAACGTTGCCCAAATGTAGCAAATTTGAAATTTTCAAAGAACATCTCCGCTTTTCTTCTTCGCCTGGGAAAAATCCCCGCTGGTACGTAGATAGTCGGCGACTCCGACCACGACGTCACGACTCCACTCCCTCTTCGCAATATCATTTCCAGCTCATTCAAAGCCTTGAGTAGGATTCAAGAGTACATTTCACACTTTTATGTTCGGCGCGACGTAATTTGGCGCCTGGGTAGCGCTACACATCCCTTACTTGTGTGTAGCAAACGCATTCATTGGGAGAAACATGTCACTCCATATTAGCGATAAATGGCACCGTAGCTACAAATAAGTTCCATATATGTGATTCGGGCATGGTCTGACCTATAAAGGTCAACTTTCAATTACGGTCTTGCTTAATGGTATGTAAAACCTGTAATAATTGAATAGCACTGATTCATGGAGTGTTCCCATTTAAAAATGTGCCCATAAATGGCAGTTATCGAACGCATACTCACGCACAGACATATTTGAACGCGAAAACAGCAAAACATAAAAAATGCAAAAACTCGCACGCCGAGGGGAGTTGAACCATCAACCCCACCCCAACTGTCCGCTTGAGAATCCTTCACGCTATCCACTAGGCCATCCGATCGTTGTGATGCTGAACGTTCCTCCGATCGTTGAAGAAACCATTCCATGAAGCCGTTCACGCTTGATTACGTGCCACAAGTAAGACCCCATACCCCAACTACTTTTCTCTTCGATTCCGATAGACCTTTAGGGTCCCTCCATTCAGCAACTGGTCAAAGTTTCAAGCGGTTTACAGCTCGTAGAGGCTCAAAAACAATCAGTTTCTATAGGTTTCTTTTCGCTCCTTTTTTGGCATTCCAGGGGCCGCACAGCAAAAACGAAGCCCACTTTTACGGTTCATGGGCAAGGCCCTATAAAGTGACTAAACCGCTTCGAAAAAAGCCGGGGCACGCCTGAACGACCTCCCGTTGTTAAGTGCCTAGATAGAAGTACAAGGTGTCGTTCACTGCTAAAAGGATGCCATGTAAAATATTCTAAATATGAAAGGATGCTATGTAAAGTTATCTTGATATCTTTGGGGAGACCTAGGTGCAGACATCGAGGGACATATTTCGCTTTTCTCCGTTTACCAGGAACCCATGGATAAAAAAGTTACTCCTGCAGATTTTGTTGTGCATTCCATCTTTTGCAGTTCTAGTTGATGTGGCTTTCCTTTAGTGCCCTTGCGCATTTTATGGTAAATTTTGTCACAGCCTACAGTGGGTCTGTATTATGCTCAAATCGTAGTTGGTTTATCAGAGTTTGTAAAATCTATGCTTCCTGGTACATTTCTAGATATTCAGCGCTGCTTGACTGTTTCCATGTGTGGTAGATGTCAATTCTTCGTAGCTTTATTTCTGTGATTGTTGTACAAGAAATTTCACTTTTCGGTAGCCGTTACCTATGAGTTCCCTTTGTTGAACATATCGAGATCTTGACGGAATCGTAAAGCGCTCTGTCCAGATGCTTCCGTGGTCTTGAATTTTCGTGGACGCAATATGGTGTCGGAGCAAGCACTACATTCCACCAGATTCCATGAGACTCGTTTTGGAGAGAGCTGAAAAATTCCGCAGAATTTCACATAACCAAATTTTCACTCACTTCCACGAGCTCCATGAAAATCTTTTTACCTAGCTCAAACTTTTCCTCCAGATTATAACGGTATGAGTGCCAGAACTCTTTCTCTTACACCCTATGAGTGCAAGAACTCTTTCTCTGGTACCCTCATTCAGAAACAGCATCATCCATGGATTCACATACGAGAAAAAGCAGGTGACAA